TAAAATAATTTTTGATCATCTGGATATATACCTAGTAGAGGAATTGCAGGATCAAATGGTAGGTCTACTTTTAGTTCCTTGAGTATTCTCCAAACTTCTTTCCAAAAAGGTCGTATTAGCTTGCATTCCCACCAGCAGTGTAGAAGCATTCCCTTCTCTCTTCATCCATGCCGACATTGGGGATTTTGTGATGTGGGCTAATCTTACTGGAGTTAGATGACATCTCAAAGTGGTTTTGATTTACATTTCTCTGATGCTTAAGGATGATGAGCATTTGTTCATGTGTTTTTAGGCCATGTGCCTGTCTTCATTAGAATTTTCTGTTAAAGTCTCTTGTGCACATAGAAATGGGGTTTTTTATTCTTATCGATTAGTTTGAGTTCTCTGTAGATTCTAGTTATCAGACCTTTGGTAGGTCATGTTGGAATAAACTGCAGAAATCTTCTCCCATTCTGAAGGTTGTCTGTTTGCTTTACTTACTGTGTTCTTGGCTGTGCAAAAGCTTTTTAGTTTGATCAGATCCCAGTAATAGATTTTTGGTGTTGCTTCAATTGCCAGGGGGGTCCTCCTCATAAAATATTCTCCCAGGCCAATTTCTTCAAGTGTTTTCCCTGGATTTTTATAGTTTCATGTCTTAAGTTTAAATCTTTTATCCAGTGAGAATCAATTTTTGTTAATGGTGAAAGGTGGGGGTCTAGTTTTAGTCTTCTACAGGTCGCCAACCAGCTCACCCAGCACCATTTGTTAAATAGGGAATCTTTCTCCCACTGAATATTTTTGATAGGCTTGTTGAAGATCAAATGACAATAAGCAGCTGGGTTCATCTCTTGGTTCTCTATTCTGTTCCATACATCTACTGCTCTCTTTCTGTGCCAGTACCATGCGGTTTTGATCACTACAGATTTATAGTATAGCCTGAAGTATGGTAATGTGATGCCTCCTGATTTGTTCTGATTTCTGAGTAATGAATTTGCTAATTGAGGTTTTTTCTGATTCCATATAAAATGAAGTACTACTTTTTCAAGTTCTTTAAGGTATGACAGTGGTGCTTTAATAGGGATTGCATTAAATCTGTAGATTGCTTTGGGTAGTATGGACATTTTAACAATGTTGATTATTCCCAGCTATAAGCATGGTATGTTTTTCCATTTGTTAACATCTTCAGCTATTTCTTTTCTCAGAGTTTCATAGTTCTCTTTATGGAGATCTTTCACATCCTTTGTTAGGTAAATTCCCAGATACTTCATCTTCTTTGACACTATTGTAAAAGGAATAGAGTCCTTAATTGTTTTTTCAGCTTCACTATTGTTGGTGTATATAAAAGCTACTGACTTGTAAGTATTGATTTTGTATCCTGAGATGCTGCTATATTCCTTGATCACGTCTAAGAGTTTTGAAGTTGAGTCCCTGGGATTTTCCAGGTATAGGATCATGTCATCAGTGAAGAGTGAGTGTTTGATCTCCTCTGATCCTATTTGGATACCCTTGATCGCCTTCTCTTGCCTGATTGCAATAGCTGAGATTTCCATTACAATGAGGAATAGCAGTGGAGACAGTGGGCATCCTTGCCTAATTCCTGATCTGAGTGGAAATGTTTTCAATTTTACACCATTCAATATGATATTGGCTGTGGGTTTGCTGTAGATGGCCTCTATCAGTTTAAGAAATCTCCCTGCTATGCCTATTTTCTTAACGTTTCTGATCAAGAAAGGGTGCTGGATATTATCAAAGGCTTTTTCTGCATCAATTGAATCATATAGTCTTTGTTTTTTATTTTATTGATGTGATGTATTATATTTATATATTTGCATATGTTGAACAAACCCTGTAACTCTGGAATAAAACCAACTTGATCATGGTATATAATTTTTTTTTATGTGTTGTTGAATCATGTTTGCTAAGATCTTATTGAATATTTTTGCATCAATATTCATTAATGATATTGGTCTGTAATTTTCTTTCTTTTTTGGATCCTTTCCTGGTTTGGGTGTCAGGGTGATATTTGCCTCATAGAATGTGTTGGGAGGTATTCCTTCTTTTTCTATGCTTTGGAAAAGGTTGTATAATATAGGTACTAGTTCCTCTTGAAAGGTTTGATAGAATTCTGATGTGAAGCCATCTGGTCCTGGACTTTTCTTTTTAGGGAGATTTCGTATTGTTGATGCTATTTCAGTGGTTGATATAGGTCTATTCAAGATTTCTAATTCTTTCTGGTTGAGTCTAGGAAAGTGGCATGCTTCCAGGTAATTGTCCATTTCCTTCAGATTTTCATATTTCTGGGAATAGAGATTTTTGTAGTAATCATTCAGGATGTTTTGACTTTCTGAAGTTTCTGTTGTTATGTCTCCTTTATTATTTCTCACAGATGATATTAGAGATTTTACTTTTCTATTTCTGGTTAGGTTGGACAAAGGTTTATCAATTTTGTTAATCTTTTCAAAAAATCAACATTTTATTTTGTTGATCTTCTGAATGACTCTGTTGTTTTCAGTTTCATTTAAGTCTGCCCTAATTTTGGTTATTTCTTTTCTTCTGCTGAGTTTGGGGTTGGAATGTTCTTCCTTTTCCAGTTGCTTGAGGTGATCCATTAAGTTGTTGGCTTCCTCTCTTTCTGTTTTCTTGATGAGGGCTTCCAATTCTATACATTTCCCTCTTAGGACTGCCTTTGCAGTATTCCACAGGTTTTGATAATTTGTGTCTTCGTTATCATTTTGTTCCAAAAATTTGGTGATTTCCTTCTTAATCTTGTCTCTGACCCAGCTATCAGTCAGCCTAAGATTATTTAACTTCCATGACTTTGTTTGAGTATGAAGATTCCCGTTGCTGTTGAGTTCAACTTTTATTCCATAGTGGTGCGAGAAAATACAAGGAATAATTTCTATGCTTTTACGTTTGCTGAGGTTATACTTGTGTCCTAGGATATGATCTATTTTGGAGGATGACCCATATAATCAGTTTTATTAGAGTGAAATGTTCTGTAGAGGTCTGTAAAGTCCATTTGTTCTAGGGTTAGGTTTAAGTCTAATATTTCTTTGTTTAGTTTCTTCTTGGAGGACCTATCCAAAACTGTCAAAGGGGTGTTAAAATCTCCAACTATTATAGTGCAGGAAGATATCAAGTTGTTCATATCCATTAGGGTCTGCTTTATGAATTGAGGAGCATTCTGGTAGGGTGCATAAATGGTAATTATCAAAATCTCTACATGTTGCATGTTTCCCTTGACAAATATGTGGTAACCTTCCGTATCTTTCTTTATCTTTGTTGGTTTAAAGCCATTTGTATCTGCTACTAAAATTGCAACCCCTGCTTTTTTTCTGGTTTCCATGCTTGTATTACACAAGTCCATCCCTTCACCCTGAGTCTATTTTTATCCTAAGGTAAGGTGAGATTCTTGTATACAGCAGATATTGAGTCTCAGTTTATGTATCCAGTCAAAGCCAGGCTATTTGGATCTTGCTCTTGCTCAAGCTGGTCTCAAACTCCTGAGTTCAAGCAGTCCATCCACCTTGGTCTCCTGGAGTGCTAGGACTCACACCTGGCCCTAATGATTAATTCTTATATAGCTCAACTATCTTCTCTTTGTTGTTTATTCTCTATAATACAAAGATAAATATATTTTATTATAGTTCGTATTTTATTTATTTATATTTTTAATATAAATCTTTCCCATTGGGGATCTCTTTGTCTTATATGTAACATTTTCTAAATATGTAGTTACATTCAGGGTTTGGAAGGTGGTAGCACGGGTACTCACAGTGATCTCAACAGGAAGAAATTCAGAATCTTTTCTATAGTGCTCAGCTTTTAACATGTCTTAAATAAATATTCTGTCAGTCCATTTCTCTGAATATATTCTCAGTTTTGCTGCCGCTGGCTTATGCTCTTGTCTATGACAGGAGTTCGCAAGCTTTTTTCTGTTGGGGCCCATTTTAAATTTTTTAGGCTTTGTAATCCATGTGGTTTCTGCCATTGTAGTGTGAAAATAGCTATAGCCAATATATAAATGAATGAGTGCGGCTGTGTTCCTACAAAACTATATTTACAAAAAAATGGTACTGGGCTGGATTTGGTCTGTGGGGCTATAGTTTGGCAACACCTGCTTAATGATATTTTACTCTTATGACTTCTGCTCTCATAGTTTCTGCTTAGTCATAGTGTACTTCCAACCAATTGTGGACCAAAAATATTAGGAAAAGAAAATGGGTGGTTGTGTCTGTACTGAACATGTATAGACTTTCATTGCAATTATGTCCTAAACAATACAGTATGGCAACTATTTACATAGCACTTACATTTTATTAGATATTATAAAGTAATCAAGAGATAATTTTAAAAGTATATGGTAGGATATATATAGGTTATGTATAAATTCTCTGCCATTTTATATGGAACTTCTGGAACCAGTCTCCTGTAGATACTGATGGATGACTATAAACAATCTCCCACAGATACTGAAGAACTTTGATATGATTATGCCTCTTATGGTGGGAACAGGGTCCAGAGAAGCTCTAAGAAACCTAGCAACAGGAGTTTGTGCATCTTTCTGTATTGTTGCTATTTTTGTAACTAAGCCACTCTCTTGGTTTATCTTTTGTGTATTTTAATGTATCCTTTTCAGTATTGGCTTGCCTATCCACTTTCTTTTTTCTTTACCTCATATTTTAGTTTATTCATAAGGTTCTGCTTGCTTATGGCTTCATCTTTCTCATAAACTTTGCTTGCTTCTGATCCTTCTCTCTGCCTTGTGTTGGCTTCCTGTGTATCCTTTCAGCTTTAGTTCTCTTTTCTGTGATTACTTTTGATAGCCCAATTCTAATTTCTGAGAACACAAATTTATGAGGCCTAGATTAGTTAGATAATTTATATACCAATAGCAGTTTATGGGTCTTTGCGTTCTGCTGTTAATATGATGATTACACTCAGGCTCTGCTGCCTTTACTCTTTTTCTTACAGCTTGTACTATATCTATTAACAGTTGAATTCTTTATCTTTTGTTTCAGTGATTGCATTTGCAAATGACTACAGGATCCAGATGTGGTAAATGTGTAAGATGGTTCTGGTATTCTTTTCCTTTTTCTTGAAACACTCCCTTTTGGGGAGGGTGATGGGGAAGTGTGGGGGTGGTGATTGTATTTCTTTTGTTTATCCACCTTTGATAGAAATATTAGAGGAGAGGTTTCTCTAAAGTGGGATGGTAAAGAGTAACTGACACTTTTACTAGGAGGGCAATAGGGAGTATTTGGAATTGTGGTCAGTTGGAACATGGACCTTTCATCCAAAGGGGAAGGCTTTAGTGCTTGCCTCCTGCTGATTGTTGCCCAGTAGAAATGTGGGTCTCAGATTGCCAGGATTTCCAGCTCTTGTCAAAGAGCCAAATTGGCTTCAATGTTTTTTTTGTTTCCCAACCTCCCACCCTCTCTTATAGCTTCAAATTTTTTCAGTTTCTTTTCATTCTTTTTTTTTTTTTGGAGACAGTCTCACTTTGTTCGCTGCCCCCCTCCCCCAGAGTGCTGTGGTGTCATAGCTCACAGCAACTTCAAACTTGGGCTGAGGCGATTATCTTGCCTCAGCCTTCCAAGTAGCTGGGCTATAGGGTCCCGTCACAATGCTTGACTATTTTTAGAGACAGAGGTCTTGCTCTAGCTCAGGCTGGTCTTGAACCTGTGAGCTCAGGCAATCCACCTGCCTCGGCCTCCCAGAGTGCTAGGATTACAGGCTTGAGTCACTGCACCCAGCCCAAATTTTGGTTTTCATTTGTTTTAAATGTTTCAGAATATATTTATAAATGCTTTTATAACCTTATAGCCTCTGTTTCTTCATAATTTTGGCTTATTTGTAATGTTACTTTTTTCCCACATGGTATAAAACATAGGTATGTATCACTACGTGGGGACAGGGGATTGGCGGTTTCCTTTGGGCAGTGTTTAAAACTGGGCCACAGTTTTGAATGCCATTGTATATGTTAGAATGGAATAGATTAGGAAGCCATGATAAGATACAGATAAGAAAATAGGAAGGGCGGTGCCTTTGTCTCAGTGAGTAGGGCACTGGCCTCTTATACCAATGGTGGCAGGTTTGCACCTGTCCCCAGCCAAGCTGCAACAAAAAATAGCTGGGTGTTGTGGTGGGTGCCTGTGGTCCCAGCTACTCTGGAGGCTGAGGCAAGAGAATTGCCTATGCCCAAGAGCTGGGGGTTGCTGTGAGCTGTGATGCCACAGTACTCTACTGAGGGCAACACAGTGACACACTGTCTCTGAAAAAAAAATAGGAAAATAACTAGCTGTCATTTGTACTTTCCCTTTGGTAAGTACAAGAAGCCCTCTCTATCCATGGGTTCCACATTCATGATTTCTGCCAAACATTGATCAAAAATTTATGGACAAAACAATAAATAACACAATCATAGGGCCAGGTGCAGTAGTAGTTCCTAGCCTTCTGGATGTCTGAGGCAGATGGATTGCTTGAGCTCAAGATTTCAAGATCATCTTGACCAAGAGTAAGACCCCATAGCTACTAAAAATGGAAAAGCTAGCTGGGCATCCTAGTGCCTGTTCCCAGCTACTTAGGAGGCTGAGATAGGCTGATCACTTGAGTCCAAGAGTTTGAGGTTGTTGTAAGCTATGTTTATGCCATTGCACTTTACCCAGAGCAACAGAGCGAGACTCTGTCTCAAAAAAAAATAATAAAAGTTCATAATAAAACAGCAGTAAAAATAGTACAATAAATCAATACAGTGTAACGACTATTTACATAGCATTTGCATTGGAAATAGAAGGAGGGGCTTTTGGTCTGTACTTTGGGTTGTCCAAAGTTGTGGGGAACAGGGTAGTGGGGGTTAAATAGGGGCTCTTCAATTCTAGCAAGATGCCCCACTGGTTTTGGTGGGCTTCGTGGAAAGGAAAACTGCTGAGTTGTGAATAACATTCCATGGTCTGGTACAGTCATCCAAAACTGGATTCCCCATGCTTGCCCTCTTGCCCAGATAATATAGGGTGGGGTTCTGCACCTGAATGGAAATGGGGTTACAAGTGTGAGGTACGGTACATATGGGTTGCCCAGTCCTTTGGATGATGATATGTTCAGTATTATTTGTCCCTCCTTCATAACTGGTGATAGTTACACATTTCTAGGCTGGGCAATAATATTCATTAAGTTAAGGGAGGGTGGTCTCATTGGTGGGGTCCCACAGAGGTAGAGATCAAGGTTCTGTAAGCCTCTTTCACCCTGTGTTGTCCCACACCCTGGAGTGTTCTACAGGTTCCAGACTGAGGGCAGAGACCTTCTTGGTTCTGCTGAAATGAATCAAACAACCTACACAGATCAGTAGGAAATACTGGATCTGAATTCTGTTCCTTGGCTTTGGGGACTTCAGTACTATCTGCCCAGGTTATATTCACCACCACCCTCCCTTTAGCCCAAGTGGATGATACAAAATAAGTAATGGTTGAAGCGAGGGTTTTGGGGAGGGATTTCAAAGCCAAGCAGACACACAGAAAGCAAATTAAGATTTTAACAGTCTTAGCTTGAGAGGGTCCTCTCCAGGGATAGCAGTCCAGGCAGGTTTCTCATTTTCTCTGGCCTTTTTCACTCAGGAGTGGTGAATCCATGCTGTCAGACCATCTACCTTTATAGCCGTTGGGGTGGCAAGGATGACAGTGTAGTGGCCTCTCTAGTGTGGACTCAGTCCTTCTTTCTAGAACATCTTTACGAACACCTGGTCTCCCAGCTTGAAGGCAGGTTCAAGTTTTCTGCTCTCCTTCTGTGGACTGGGGTGTGCATCTTGAACCAGGAAGTGAAGATCTGATTAAACCTGATGGAGAGTTCTGAGATATTTCAGGAGATTTTGATTAGTTATTTATGCAAGATGAGTTTCACGTACTCGGGGCAGTAGGGGAGGGGGTCTGCCATACATTATTTCATAAAGGGTGAGAACTGCTCTGTATGAGGTACATCATACTCTAAGGGCTGCTAAGGGGAGGAGCTCTGTCTATCTTTCACTGGTCTCTTCAGTGAGTTTGGTTAAGGTTTCTTTTAGGGTCCAGTTCATTCTTTCTACCTGGCCTGAACTCTGGGGCAGATAGGCACAGTGAAGCTTCCATTGTATGCGTAGGGCTTTACTGACTACTTGAGTTAGAGCAGAAATAAATGCTAGCCCATTATATGAGCCAATGGAAAGAGGTGGTCTAAACCTAAGGATTTCCTTTTTTTTTTTTTTTTATTAAATCATAGCTATGTACATTAATACAGTCATGGGGGTACAGTGTGCTGTTTTTATAAATGATTTGAAATATTTTTATCAAACTAGTTAACATAGCCTTCATGTCATTTTCTTAGTTGTTGTGTGAAGACATTTATATTCTACATTTAGAAAGATTCACATGTACCCTTATAAGATGAACCGTAGGCGTGATCCCACAAATCACCCTCCCTCCACCCATCCTCCCCCCCACCCTTTTCCTTTCCTCTCCCCTTTCCCCATATTCTTTAGCTACAATTGGGTTATAACTTTCCTATGAAAGCTATAAATTAGTTTCATAATAGGGCTGAGTACATTGGATACTTTTTCTTCCATTCTTGAGAAAATCCACTTTGCTGCTAAGAAAAGTATTTTCCAGCTCCATCCATATAAACATGAAGGAGGTAAAGTCTCCATCCTCCTTTAGGGCTGCATAGTATTCCATGATTTACATATACCACAATTTATTGATCCATTCGTGAGTCAGTGGGCACTTGGGCTTCTTCCATGACCTAGCAATTATGAGTTGGGCTGCAATAAACATTCTGGTACAAATATCTTTCATATTAGCAAGAAAAGAACAAGTGATCCCATCTCAGGGTGCGCACGGGACTTGAAGAGAAACTTCTCTGAAGAAGATAGGCGCATGGCCTATAGATATATGAAAAAAATGCTCATCATCCTTAATCATCAAAGAAATGCAAATCAGAACTACTTTGAGATACCATCTAACACCCGTAAGATTAGCCCACATCACAAAATCCCAAAATTAGAGATGCTGGTATGGATGTGGAGAAAAGGGAACACTTCTACACTGCTGGTGGGATTGAAAACTAATACGTTCCTTTTCGAAAGACGTCTGGAGAACACTTAGAGAATTAAAAATAACCTGCCATCTGATCCTACAATTCCTCTACAAGGTATATATCCAGAGGATCAAAAATTACACTACAACCTATAGATAATTTCACTTAAGAGTTATTTTGCTGTGGTTAAGGCTGTTTCATTTTTGGTGGGGAAGACTTCTATTCAACCTGAGAATGCATCTATTAATACCAGGAGGTATTTATATCCCTGCTGGTAGGGTGGATTTTGGTAAAGTCAATTTCCCAACTTTCTTCTAACATTAGTCCCTTAAGGCAAATTTCTATTGAGAGTTTCATCCTGCTTTCACCTTGCTTTCGCGTTTACTTTTTCACATTAACACACCAGGCAGCTGTGGACTGGGCAACTTCTTCCAAGGTTTTAAACAAGTATCCTGGCTCCAAAAGTGCTTGTATTTTTTTACCTCCTAGGTGGGTTACTGAATGGAGTTGTATCAGCTCCCTCCCTACTGGGTTGGGTAGATAAATCAGGGAGTCTCAACCAGCCTCCTCCGATTTCTTTGGCTCCCTGTTCTTTTGCAAATTTCTTTTCTTCAGAGTATGTGGGGACTGTAGTGAAGAGTGGAGCAGGGAACAGGATGGTCACAGGTAGAAGGCCCAGGGGTTTCACTGGGGTTAAGGCCACTTCTCTGGCCAGTCTTGTCTGCCAGGTGGTTACCAATTGCCTCTGGGGAATTAGGCTTATTCTGTCCTAGGCAATGGATGACTGCTACCTCCTCAGGGAGTCAAAGAGCCTCTAATAAGGCCAGGATTCCATCTTTGTTCTTAATAGTTTTTCCTGCCTAGGTGAGACATTTTTCTTTGTAAATCTGGTCTTTTGTATGTAGAAACCCTCCTTCAGGGAGCTAACACCAGACAGATGTCTAATTCCAGACAGATGTTGTGTCCCAATGCAAATTGGCTGTTGGTATAGATGTTAATTGCTTTGTTCTTTCCCCATAGGAAGGCTTGAGTTAAAGTGATTAATTTGGCTTTCTGAGCTAAAGTGCCCACCGACAAGGTTTGTGCCCATATTACCTCATCCTGGGTGGTCATGGTGGCCTTCCATGGTTTGGTCTGGAATATAGCTGCTTCCATTGGTGTACACTGGCGTCAGCATTCTGGCATGGGGTGTCCCTCAAGTCCATAAGGCCCTTTTGATAAAGGTCCAGCCCATCTTTGTAGTCATGGATGGGCTCTTGCAGGTCATCTGATCTGGCAGCAGGGTTTCTGGATTTAGGCTCTGAGTGGGGCTGAATCTCAGGTGTGGCTGGTCTAGAAGCAGGCTCCGGTACTGGGTAAGTCTGGTGTTAGACATCTGTCTGGTGT